GACCTTTTGATATTTATCGAGTTTGTGGATTGGCGACTTTACCCATTGATCATATATAATGCTTGGGCTTCTGTAGTTATGTAGGTTCTCCAAGGAAACGTGTTAATAAGGAACACTGAAAAACAAATGAATCATATTATTTTTGTAACCTTATCTCTAACGTTAATCATGATGAACAAAAGAAATGAGTAGGCCCTATTAGTGATTATCGGTTTTAATCTCACCACAGCAGCCCCCCCCTCAAGTCACGAAGAAATCCCCAACACACCACACGCTCAGACATTAAGGAGCTAACAAAAATATAGGCATAGAAAAAAAACCCACTCACATTATCATATATACACAACACAAACACAGATGTTATTTTACAATCAAACATGCACACAGACACACGTGGGGGCCTCTCGTGGCCTAGAGGTTAAGGTGCGCTCATATGACCTTATGCAGTTGCGAGTGCCGTAAAATCTCTACTAATACTAATACTAGAGGTTAAGGTGTTGGCATGTTGGCTCCTTCAAAGGTCCTGGGTTCGAATCCGAGTCACGACCGAAAACTTTTCTTCTCTAACATTAATATTGTCTCCTTTCTCCTCCTTTCCTGTTCTCTAGCAATGTTCTGCCGTCAGCTTTCGTCTCCTCTTTCTGCCCCCACCCTTTCACTTTCACCTCCTTTGCCCCATCCCCTGGGCTCCTGACTCTTTCTGCAGCATTTCTACTGCTACTCCTTGGCTCCTTCTTACTGCTGTTTTTCAGCCACACCTCTGATCTTCTGGTAGGAAAGATCTACACTTTGATCTAGCCTTCTCGGACAAGGGCGAAAAATCTCGGAGAGCCGTGTGCAAGTTGCGTAGGTTAAAGATCCCTTGGTGCAGTGGCGGTGGGTGGGGCTGAGAAATCAGGGGAGGTAGAGTTCAAAGTTAAGATTTCCATTGTTCAGAGGACATTCCAGATATGTGTGAGTATATTTCATTCACACACTCACACCCAAACGCGCTCATTTGACCTTATACAATTGCGAGTGCCGTAAAACACTTACCAAAAAATCGAATAACTGATTAATTAAATACACGCAAAGGCACACACAGCAGTAACTTGATAAGGCTGTGGGGTCGCACAAAGCAAGGCATTCCTAAAACGTGGGCCCATGAGCGTGTTTGGGTTACTGTTCCTAATTGGAAAAGTTCCGCGTTTCAAAGCAAGGCTAAGTGCGTATATGAATGAAATAAGATGAGTTTAGTTTGCATGTATAGCCTCTTTGGTTTGAATGTTAGTTTGAATTGAATGATCTACTAGACACGGCATTTTCAAGCCACAGGTCGAGTGTGATCCCGGCCCAGTCTCTCTCTCTCTCTCTCTCTCTCTCTCTCTCTCTCTCTCTCTCTCTCTCTTCCTTTCCCTCTGTCAACACAACATCCAACTGTAAAAACAATTAATGGAATGAAATTAATGGAGAAGAGAGGAAACTTGAACTCGTTATCCGCCCCTTTCCTGACCCAGATGTCATTAAATGCTTTGTCTACAAGTCTACGGCAAGCCTAGCAGAAATTCGACGAAGACACTCCGAAGTAAGAAAGCCCTAGCTCCCAGTTAACCCTATGTACTTGGAGCTGAAGCGCACAGGGGAAATTTTAGGTAAATTTTTACTTTCACTCCCGCACACAGATGCACTGTTTCAGGGGTCAAACTGCAGTACTGTTTGCTGCAGATCACACATAAAGCCACTAAAACTGTCGCAAATCAATTATTTTCAAGACAATTTCAAATCTAACTGTAAAATATCAAATTATGGGTAAAAACAGGGGGGCATGCCCCTCTGTAACCCCCCAGATTTTCTTTTACCCCAGTGGGGCAGGCCCCCCTGGAACCCCCCGATTGGTCCAAAGCACGTCTATCTCGGTTAAAAACAATCAAATATTTCAAAAACTATTAATTTGCAACGGAAATGAAGTTGATATTCGTGTTCTGCGCATCAATATTTAGTAGAAGATAGACAACTGGTAGCTGAGTGTGAGTTGGGAGGGAAAGTTTTATTCTTTTTAGCGGAAGAGGTAGTTAAAAAAAAAACAACCATAGTATAGTACAAGTTAGAATTAATCCACAATAAATTATTTTCGTCTGGGGGTCTTTTGCTGCAAAATCACCGTAAAACCAAGGGCCACAACTCTAAACAAAAAAATTAAACGCGGCCGGCTTGGTAATTTTTTCAGGATCCAGTATGAGTATCCAGTAGAGTGTAGAGGCCCTGATATATATTGATGTAATGTGATATTCCGTAGTTTTGTAGGCCTTTGACATGATAGCAGTGACAATTTAAAGTCACATGTTTTTTAGTTGTACGATTGAACGTCTTTTGCTTGATTCTTAATTGGTGAGTGTTGGTCAACTGTCAACTAATAAGACAGGGTGAACCTTGCAGACAGTTGATCTAGATCTAGATCAAGAATCGAGTTTCAGTTTCAATTTAGATTCTGCTCAACTCAATCATCTTCGACTGGGTAACAACTGTCAATTTAAAAGGAGTCTTGGTCTTGATCTTTTAAAACTGGATACTGGATAAAGCTGTAGTTATTCGCTCAGGGTATTTGAATACTATGGGAATTGTATTCGCACAGGGTTTGCGAATACTATGAAATTTTATTCGCACAATGGGGTGTGTGAACACTACAAAATATTATTGGCACAGGGCGTTTCAAAAGAAGGATGGAAATTAATTGGGCCTAGCATTTCCTCATTCCCCCCCCCCCCCCCCCCCCATCGCGTAGGGACAAAGATTATGTAGCCTATAACAAGATAGTTCACTCAGGACTCTCTTTGAGCCAATTAAAAAAGTGTCCTCAAAATTTGGTGACATCTTCGAAAAAATGCGGACTTTACGAACAGTTAGATCTACCCTAGTTGTGTGAAAAACAGTAAAAGTGAAATTAACAGACTGTTTTATCCGGGTACTTATTTTTACCAAGAAGACCCGAGAAGATCCGAAAAGACTGCCGAAAAGACCCGAGAAGACTCGAAAAGACGTACATGGTTTATTTATTTATTGTTTATTTATTTGTTGTTTAAATTTGTCACAAACAGATCGATAATAGCTACACGGCCGTGGACTAGACATGACTCGGACCCCACTTTGCATCACTGCTAGACGGCTGGGCTAGCCGTACTTTTATGATGGTTAGACTGACAAACAGAAAAATATAAGGCCTACTGAATTGTATAAATTTTTAGTTTGCCATACCTAAAGTATTTGTATTTGAGACGAAACCAGGTGCCTTGCTGACAGTGCAAGAAACACAACCTCAAAACCCAGTATCACAACAGACAGAGCTAAGAACATCATCAAATGCAGCACCAGGGAACAGTGGCTGAATGGATGGGCATTGGGCAAAACTTGAAGAGCTGTATTTTCATACATGACTGCTCCCAACTCAAAAGATGCACTAAATTCCCTGAGTAGAAGAGAACAGGTCGCTATCTTTCGCTTGGGAACAAAACACATTCCATTGAATTCCTACCTAAATAGGATCCGCTAGGATACCACACTTGACTGCCCGCTGTGTGACTGCGAGGATGAAACAGTACAGTTTCCCACCATCTCTTTTCTTGCCGTGCAATTAGCGACATGCGAGCACCTTCCTACCTGCCTCCCCCGATATCGGAAAATACTTTATACACAGCGACAAACCACAGCTGATAAAGACCTGTAAATTCTTTGCCATATTGACAGACCGAAGGGCTAGATCCCAGATGGTTGCTGGATCGGAAAAGTAAAGTAAAGTAAATATAGAGATGAGAGTTCTGAAATGTTGATCAAAATCCAACAAAATATTTAATGTTTTTTCCAATTTTCACCCTCAGGTTGACATTTTCATGAAAAAGCCCATTATATAATTTTGACCTTTCTATTGTCCGAACTTTGTTCCCTTGATTTTGCCTGAAATTTGTACATTGTGAAGTTAAATATATATATAATGAAAATATTTCCCATGGTTAATCTCACAATTTCACTATCTGTGTGCGAGACTAGTTTCCCAGCTATAATAGTATTTTCTAAAAAAAGAATTATATATCTTAAAACTTTTGATGCTGTAGTGAAGTGTATCAGAAATTAAAATATCCTTAACTCTTTCCGGATGTATCGCCGATATATCGGCGCAAGTCCACACCCCTTGCGGACATCACCGATATGGGTGCCTCAGTTTTGTTTCGTTTTAACACAATCCGTCATTTATAAAATTACTTTTAATAGCCATTGAAAACTCGGAAAGGGTTTAGGAAAAGAAAACATCTAGTTTCACTTTGTCAAAGCGTGGTTTTGGGGAAAAACGAGTGAATTAGTTCTTGCGGTCTTGCATCAACAAAACGATACGACCGGACTCAGTATAAATATCATAACTCACACAAATATTGGAATATTGCTTTCAAATAAAAAAAGCTGCACTTTCATAAATTTATGGAATATAGCTCTAGGGCTGTATATATGATAGACAGGAGCTATGCTGATTTGCTTTCACGTGTTTGGTGAATGTAATTTTTTCTGTCGAAATTTATTTTTTTCATCACCATCGCCATTTCTAACTCTTCTAATGCATACTTATGTTCAAAATTAATCCTTGTTTCATATTGGGATGTATTCCTTATTCAATTTTCTTCAATTTGATATTCATATGTTACGTTTTGAGTGATGGTTATGCTTCTATGAAGTTATTTTGTACACCACCTGCAGAACCAAATCGAGCCACAGGTTAATTATTACCCTCTTAATTTTATTCACTGATGCAAAATATTCTGAGATCTCACATGTGAGAAAAATTTTGAGACCACGTTTTCATTATATATACAAATTTTCAGTTCCAGAGTAACTGAGCCAAAGGGTCAAGATGAACACAGACACAGAAGGGTTTGGGGACCTGCTCCAGCAGGCGGAGCAGCTGACGGCAGACATGGACTCGGGCACAGACCTGCCTCATGTTGAGCGCAACCTGCAGCAAATCCTGGAGGCGGGTCAGCGTTTGCTCTCACGGGCCACCCCAGCTACTCAGGACAACACTGATGTGCAGGCGTGAGTTGGCTTCAACAGAGACTTGGATTTTACTTTTGATTGAAATGTTTGTTTAGTTTTTTCTAGGCAGTCTGCATAGTTATAGTTATAAGGGTAAATGGAAATTAGAACATGTATTTCGAATTCTGTGCAATACATTACATATGAGTAGTTATCACATTGGAGAATACTTTTGTTTTATCACTTTAAAAGTTGGACGAGAAAGGGTTCCAGAACATCTTTAAGTAAATTCTAATTTGATTTGTTTGTAGGGGAACTAGGAATGATATGAGTTGCTGACATCGGGCCCTGCCTAGAACTTCCTTCAAATTCTTCACCTCATATTGTTCATTTTGACCACCTTCTCAGCTTTACCAGCATGGATTATATATTTATTTTACCAGTCTTCTCATAATGACATAAAGGTTCAATATATTGTTTGTTCTTTGTGTTACAGATCCATACTCTTGGGCAGCAAGGGATTTGTCTTGCCCAAGATTTCTGAGCGCCTAGAGGGTCTGAGAGCAGCCACAACTTTTGAGCCGTTAGAGCCAGTCAGGGACACAGACATACAGGTGGGATTACTGTAAACAGTGACAAAGATTAGGAGTAGACATATTTAAGTTTAAGGCCACACACTGGTTTTTGGAGTCCAGTTTGGGTCCAGACAATGTTTTTTGGGTTTTCAGAAACTTCCCTTGAAAATTATGTGCTAAATCGAATGGAAGTACTCCGAAACTTCTATTTCAATGTGATAGCTCCATAGAGTTTGGAACAATGTGAGTCAATACAATGCTATATAAAGCAAGTTTTAGATGTTTTGCTCCTTTCCTCAAAATGTTAATTTCTTGGCTTTAAAAGCTAAAAACTCAAACTCCATTCTAGATAAAGACATGAAATTTGGAGGGTAAGTGCACTATACAATTCCAAATAAAATTACGCTAGCTTCTTGTAATTTTTAAAACTATATTTTTAATGATTTTTTTTACTTTGCTATTTTGACTATTTTTGTCATTCGCTATAGACAATTCTTCTAAATGTTACAAAATTATTAATATTTACAATTTCAAGAAAGGCTAGCATCATTTTCTTAAGATTTGTGTACAGATTACAAATATGTAATTAGTTAATAGATACCATGGATAGTTTTTGAGTTTTTAACTTTTAAAAATGGTCCTTCAGATAGCTCGATTTCTCTCTAATTTGCCATTTCTGTAATTATGTAATTGATAATGATTTCCAAAACGGAACATTTTTAATCCTTGAATGGAATGTTTTGAGAAAATGAGAAAAAACAAGTTAAAATTACTTAATTGTAAATTTTAGAACCAAGAAGTAGAGTGTGTGGCCGTAATAGCTTTGTTTTGCTCATTTTTGATTTGTGGGTTACCAAGGAGTGGGTGATAAGGAGACCTTTTTATTTTTAGTGTGAATGCATGTCATGTCAATAGCCATCACATATCGTATATTATATGCACTGAGTAAATCATGTGGCATTGTCCATACTCCTGAATTTTTCTCACCTATTCCTTTATTGGTCACTGCTGTACAGCATGCTTCTTTTATGCTCTATTCAGTGTGTGTGCCATAAAATTATTCTTTGTGTGTTTCTGGTCCAAGATCCTCCTGCCTAAAACACGATTGCACAGACTTTACCGCTTATCATTCTCTGTTCATCAGCGGCTCAACCACTGTCTATAGGATTATGTATATCTATTCTTTCTTCATAGAATGAGCAATCAGTACAGTCAATATTTATAGGAATCCCGATTATTGTAATGCTCTATGATTCTTTTGTGTTATAAGAAAAAAGTGTGTGATTGAAGCTATAATGTTTTATTTCACCATTTCAGGGTTTCCTTCGTAATGAAAGAGAAAATGCTCTGTTGGCTGTGATAGAGCAGACGCGCAAAAATGTAAGTATTTTGACATCATAGACTTCACATTTGAAGTTGTGACAATGTTGTGGACTTGAGCGAACGTGTAGATTTTATTTTCAGATAACCATAAGGGCATTTGGTATAAAGTACCAATATTATCAAAGAATCCATACTAGCCTTCATATAGTCTTAGATACATTCAGGATAGTTTTGGTAATTTTTGGTAATAAGTTTTTAAAATAAACCTGCCAAATTGTTCCTTTTTGTACTAGGCCATTATTCCTCAATGCATTCATTGTGGATCGGTCAACGATACATTATTGTAATCTGCAAACTGGTCAAAGTCTATCGTGATAGCAAAATTTTTTGCCCCTTTACTTCTTTCTTTCATTCACTCATTCTTTCCATCTGCAGATCATTGCTGCAGCTGGAAAATCTGTGTTTTGATCAAGAAAACTGAATTGTGAATTAAGAAATGAAATCGTTTTCAGAAAGAAACTTTTTTCAAATCTGTCTAGATCTAGAGAAATTGTCAGTGTGAAGATTCTACTGAAGCGTGATAAAGGCTGCGAAGAAAGAACTTAAATGTAATACTAAAACTAAGTTTAAGAATAATTGGGAGTAGTACTCCAAGGTTGTGACATTCAACATTTGAGTGTGAAAATGTAGGAAAATTAAAGTGAAAGCTGGGTGACTGTATTGTCAAGATTGATGTTCCTGGAATTGCCGTCTGTCAATGATATGATGAGAGATTGAATTATCATGACAATGGCATGGAAAACTTGCATTTAAACATTTCCAACAAGGGAAAGACATGTAGATGAAGAAATTAAACATAACAAAATCCTGGTGGAAAAAATGGGTATAATGTGTTGTTGGCAATCTCTTCAAACAGGCTCCCAAATGCCATTTTCCACTCTCTAAACTCACTAAATTTTCTGTTGTAGATGCGTGTTTAATTTTGCTGTATGATGTGGATGGTAATGTCTGAATACAGTATATGCGACTTTCATTTTCTATGTTACGATACTGCTTTATCACGCTTATTGGAATGTTGTTGTTTTTTAATTGTTGTCTGCAATTTAGCTAATTTAGGCATATTTCTTTGCTGCCTTGCACTGACATAGGGTATAACCCCTTCAGCCAGTGGTTCTGCTTTAACCCCATCAGTACCCCCTGGGGTCATTTTGTATCCCCAGGGTTGTATTCTTCACATTTTAGAATACTTCTAGTGTGAAGATCTCTTTGAAACTTTCAGTATTTCTCAAAAAAATTTTTTTTACAGACTACTACACAAATCGTACGGATCGGATTATGGAGTAAATTTCCTCTTCGGAAAATGGTGGCACTAAAGAGTACCCCACCTCGTATGGATACGATAGTAAAACAGGACGTACGGATAAGGTTAATTGCTCTCAAAATTCTTTTCTTTTAGCGTGAGATGCTCTATTTAATAGTGTTATTGAATGTTGTGGAAAGTAGTTTAAACAATACCAGGGCCTTTATGCTCACATGTAAAATGTTAATGTGAATACTTTGTTGTTTGTACCATTTGATTTACATTTCCGTAGAAAACCCGCAGCTAGTACTTAGATTTGGTAAAGTACTGAATCACTGGTGTAAGTTGACAACATTGGTCCTTACTTGATTACTTGATTCCAGAACTTGGGTCATCAGAGATGGATTCTATCCATAACTCCTGGCCCCTCCTCAGCAGGGTCATTCTTAAGGTATTCATACTGAAGTTCTCCATCACTAACTGCTGATTTGTTTGGCAGGGTTGCAAAGGTACCACGGCCCTGGCTGTATTCCTTTCCTTTTCAGTATCTCCACTGAATATGAGCTGGCTTCTCTTTTGCTCACCAGATGATTGCGTGCGAGTGCAGTCATAGTATGAGGATCAAGTGTGGGGTCCAGTGCTGTCTGCTAATTAAACTATTTGTTTTTATATATGAAAATGTGAATATTATGTCACAATGTTCTATTTTGGTGTCTTCTATTCAGACGTTTGAAGAGGTGGAGCGCAGACAGTGGGAATGTATGGAGAACGAGTGGGAGAGAGAGAAACAGAAAATTCTCAACTCCCTGCTTGGTTCCGGCCAGGAATCCTTTGAGTTTCAGCAGGACCCGGAGGTGGGGATTTGGTTACAGAAGTTACTTAATGTACCTGCTTTCTTGTAGTTGGCTGATAGTTTTCATGAATATTTTAGGGGAATTTATATGCGAGTTTAGTCTTTTATTCTGTCCATTTGTTAAGCTTAGTGAATATGTGGCATTACTGGCTGTAAGTCACATTTTGTTAAAAGTGGTGAATATGACTGCCTTTTTGGGTACAAATTCATTCATTTTGAAGTGGAGCTCTTGGTCCCTTCAGGACTCTGGGCTGGCTGGAGAACTGTTCAAGAAATGAAGAACGTTCTGAACGTTATTGTACTGTTTGCATAACATTTTATATTTTAATGTAAGATTCAGAGACTGGTCTGTTTCAAGATTGAAGTATAAATAGGTCCAAAATAGAACTGCAAATTAAGCGCAACATTGAAGCTATAAACAAAGAGACAGTTGACCTACTTAGATTAATTACGTCTCTTCATTAGATGAATTTGGTGAATGAGCCACCAGTGACACCTGAAATATCTAATATTGCATTATTATTTATTCAAATGTATTTGTTTTACTTTAATATTAGTTTCCATTGGCACACGAGGATTAGTACTGAAGTGTTATCATCTGTTGTACAGTAGAACTCGGATTCAACGAGCTCGGATTCAACGAAAACTCGGATTCAACGAGATGAGATAGCTCTAGATTCCCCGTTTTTTTTCTTCTTTAAAAGCAATAAAAATAATCCGGATTCTACGAGCACTTAAATCAGCGAGCTCGGATTCAACGAGGTCCCTTCCAGGGTGAACAGCCCCCGCAGACGTGGCTTCGCTCATTTTTCTCCCGTAACGAAGCTGATGTGTTCCCAGAAACCATCCATTGCACCTGCATCTTGAACCATTATTCACTTCGCCGATTGCATGCGACCAATCAGCGGCCTTCTTTCATACCAACACATGGGTTGTTGGCTCGCGCACCTACTATGGCATGTGTGTGTCGGGGTCGGATGAGCGGCCTGCACACGTGTGACACTGTATGCGTGTCGGGAGGGTGGAGGGGGGGGGACAATAGCGGTCTGGGCGTTGAACGTCGCAGATATAAACGTGTGTCTTTTCCCCCTCGGCAACTGGTCATTATTACAATGACAGTCAGACGAGATAGTCTAGTCTTGACATAGATCTACGTAATGAATTGTGCGCGGGTCTCTATGGAATCAAAAGTTGTCGTATGCTAGGCTCTACACAGCAACACAGCTTTTTGGTGAACAATCGAGATGACACAAGCATGTGCATTTGAACGAATAGGTCTTTTTTTTACACAGCTCATAATATGCAGGCTTTTCAGGGACTACTTGCGACTTCTCTTTATACTTGCTCAGTGGCTGTAATTATCTACACAAAACCTCATATTTGCTATAACGAACACTCAGATTCAACGAGATTTTAGTTCAGGCCCGGCGACCTCGTTGAATCCGAGTTCCACTGTATTTTGTTTCTTCTTCCTTTTCTCTTACTGTAATAGATAGCATTTGTGCACCAAGTATCAAGTGCCATGACTTCAAAGGGACATGCTTGTGTCCAGAGGCTGTTGCACACTTGTGAAACCCTTAATGTTTTTCTGTTGAGATGTAGATTAAGCTCTCTTCTTGTTGATGCTGGTATGTTAACCAAATTGTCTGCTTTCGTAATGGACTCTTTTTAAAAAAAAATATCCAGCTTCTGATGACAGAATCAGAGTTGAGTGGTGGAAGGAGCAGTTTGGATCACATTGAGATGGCCTATGCCAGACAGGTAATGTACTGCACTTGTGAGACAGAAGTCAGGTTTTTTTTGTGGAGGGAAAATTTTTGTCTGGGCTTGACTTGTTTAAGTCATGATGGGTAACTTATTCATCTTCTTTATAATAGTTCAGTGGTTGTGGTTGTTATTTCAGTGTCATTTGGCTCTGAAGTTGTTACCAAAGTTTTATTCCTTTCTGCTCTTTCTGTGTTTTTATTTTTAAAAATTGGGATATGGAGTTTTAAATAGCAGGATTTTTATATTTGGTTTTGACCTTAAAAAGAAGTACCATCTTTCATTGGGTGAATTTTTAAAAAGTAATCTCTCTCTCTCTCTCTCTCTCTC